TGCTGCAATATCAAGCCCTTGGAGCCCACTCTCAATTTCGTGTAAAGCTTGCTCATACTCGAAACAATGTTTTGTAGTCCATGCCAGGCTATTCTTTTGTACTATTGACATATTTCAAGCAACCAACAACCAACTCAAGCAGCTAATCACTCACACCAGCAAAATACCAAGCACCATTTTTTTTTTTACATTCTATCAGATGTTCTCCTAGCAAAGATGTCCGAGCATAATACGGGCTTTCCGAAATTAACGATGGAAATTTCACACCAAGGACTTAATTTAACAACACTGCCATCCCCCTTGTGAGAGTTGACTCAGAGAAAGAAATGAAGTAGTAAATACAAATCAGCATTACTCGCAAACAAGCTGAATACCACAATATCAAAAGTGAGTAGCCCAAGCCGTTATCATTAACCAACACTGAATACAGAAAAAGATGAAATGGCCCTTGTTGAATACACTGAATAGATCAGAATGAAATGGTACAAACAGATTATCGTCCAGGACTAGGTCCAATGCACACAAATCGTGTTTTACAACTGACACTAATTCCACATCTTAATTACCTGAGGGAAGAAAGAGTCCCCGAGAGTATAAATACAAACACTGTAAGCTTGGTTTACAGTATTACTGATTGGTTCTAGAACTTCTTTTGCTGAGTCCTAGTCGTATGCATGCTCCATTATATTTATTAGTCCTTGCATTTGAAACATCGATAATTGCAGAGTTTTACATCCCAAAAGCGATGTGATATGATTATCAGGGAAACCGTAGTGAACAGCCCCTGGAAATTTCTCCGGCCTAGTATTCTTCAACAGAGCACTAACAAAAAATTTCACTTTTTTTTTTATGGCAACAAGCAGCTAACAACCTGCTTATCAAGGCTGGATTATGACCTATTATGTCAGCCGGCATAATAGGTAGCGGCTCATCCGGTGCGCTGTATACACTAGTTAACGGTCTATTGTTAAGCACCGCTTCAACTTCAGTGGTTATTGTTTCCACCTCTTCCCTAGCTAGCAAGTCTGGTTAGCAGTCTCTTTTTGATGACTCTTTCCTCATTGATGATTTCATGCTTCTTATTATCCTTTCATAAAAGCCTCCCCACCAAGGCACTTGTCCGGCGATAAACTTCCACTTTATCTCCTTGGTTGGCCCTTTTAGAGACTACTTGTAACTCCTTCAGCATACGGTAAAATTCTCTGTTGGGTTTCTTGAATGTCCTTGCGTTGTGACTATATATTGTGCTACATAAGCCTCTTCTCACTGTAAATCTTCTGAATAAACATACGAATGCTTCTGTTTTAAAGTTGTCAACAACTTCAAGATGTACAGCTTTTAATGTCGCACACACAAATACTGCGATGTACAGTTTTGTCATGCCTTTCACGGCGTCTTTTATAAGCATTGGGCCTGTAAATTGTACATCAGTCACTTCAAATGGTTGTCCCTGGTTTACTTTTGTCAGCAGGCAGGGGTGCTGTGTCTTGCTTAATTGGTTTAGCATCGAATCTTTGACACTTTTAAACATCCATGAACAACCTTCTTCCCCAGCTGCCTTCCTTGGATTATGCAATATTTCATTCTAAGCTGCGACAGTGTTGCACTGAATCCTCCATGTAACGTAAGTTGATGCACATGTCGTACTAGCAGCTTTGAAGCGGCCGTCCACTTTGATAGCACAATTGGATGTTTTTCGTTCTATGTCAGTCCACTTTGAGACAGACGACCCTTGTGCCTTATTAGCCCTTGTTCATCTTCGAAAACTTCCTTACCACAAAGCAACATCCTTGTTGTCTTAGTCGTACCGCTCTTGTTGAGTATAATATGTTCTCGTATTTTTCATTGCTCCAATTTTATTATCACCGTCTCTGCATTCTTTAGTTCCTCAAAACGCCTATTGTCCGCTTCTTTTTTATAATCTGTATGCATCTCAGAACCCAAGTAGTTACTCTGAGTAATCTTATGTAGTTTCGATACTTCTCTGCGTCGATCACGACCAGAATTGACGTGTATGTGCTAGTAGCATAACATTCACTACTCTGAGTGCCTTCTTCCGTTTCAGTCTGCCCTGCTTCGCTTTCCGTAAAAAGCCACTTTGGACCAAGCCACCCTAGCCGACTGTATCACAAAGCCTTTGCACTTACACCTCTGGTCATGAGATCAGATGGGTTCTCTTCACTTGCAATGTATTTCCACTCTGATAGCTTCATTTTCTCTTTCATATCCTTCACCCTATTCTCTACAAAGATGTCTCATTTTTTCTTTCGTGTAGCCACCTACGAACAATGGTCGAGTCCGTCCAGTATCTTGTAGCATTTATATTCCTTTTAAGTACGCTTCTGATGTATTCAGAAATGCGTGCAGACAGCAATGCAGCCATCAACTGAAGTCGTGGTAACGAGATTTGCTTCACTAGCACTATTCTTCCTTTTGCAATTAGTATTTCAGCCTCCTTTTCTCTCTCGCAGTGATTTATCAAACAGGCCCCTGTTCCGTATGCATATAGACTTGCATCTAAAAACAAGTGAAGTTCCGTGTGAATAGGCTTCCTCCTTGGCTTACATCAAACCCTCGTGGTACACTGAACTCTTGAATCGATTCTAGCTCTTCAATCCATCTCCTCCAAGTCTCCGTTTCATCATCTGGCAGTGAGTCGACCCAAGACGTTCCTTTTCTCCACATGTTTTGCATTTCTTGCTTGGCTGTCACCGTGATTGGAGTAAAAAGTCCCAGAGGATCGTATACTCTTGCAGCAAGCTGTAACATTTGGTGCTTCGTTAGCACACCGCTAGTATCGATGTTTTTTATGTCAAACGATGGTAGGTAAAGCCTATCTTCCTTGAAGTTCCACCTGATGCCAAGGACCTTCATTTCGGTGGAAGCCCCATAGCTTGCATTTTCTTTTTGTTGTAATCCAGGCTCATTTTTGTTGAACTTTGAGAGTCATTGACGCCTCTTGAAAGATCTCATTTGATTCCCAGTAAAGTTTTTTTTGGCTTCCTTGGGTGATTCGGCACCCATTACGACGTCGGCATAGATGTTGCTTCTCAGCTGTTTAATAGTCTCCGGAAAATTCTCCAACTTGCTGAGGTGGTGCTGTACTGTTGCTGCAAGCAAGAAAGTACAGGGGGCAGTGCCAAACGTCACTCTTGACATTCTCCATGTTACGATCTTCGCATCGCTACCACTCGGAATTCGATCCCACCAAAGGAAATGCAGCGCATCTCTGTCTTCCTCATGTATTAAAATCTATAAGAATGCCTTCTCAATATCAGCTGTCACTGCAATGCGATGGTGTCGGAAGTTCATCAAATATGTGCACGATATGATGGAAGTTATTAGTCATCAAACTTCAAATCCCCAGCAGACAATGGAAAGAATCATTCCCTTTAGAATTTCACCCACGCACTGACATGAGAGGCAGTTTTTCCATTCACCGCGCTCGTCTTGCAGTGACGTGCCGGACAACACACCTCGCAATGGATGTGCAGCGCTCCTAGCGTCGTCTGCAATCGTTCTCACATGTTCATATTTAAAAAACAGAAATCCTTTTACAGCTAATGTAGCCACAAGCAAAACGTGGTGGACACGGGATGCGAAAAAAGTGCATTCGACCCAATGGTCAGGCAGACTGGAAAGAGAAATTTACTAGTGAAACCGACACGCGCCACATCTACCCTTAACTGCAGCAAGCACATCATTTTCAACGCTTGGTGGTGCTGACCTCGGTCCAAGCAAGCTGAGGCCACGCGTCAGAGCATTCTAGCTTAAAGGTGTTGACGACTCTACATTCAAAACTGGAGCAATGCTTTGATTACGAGAATGTATAATGCGAACAGCACGCCTCTGAATGCTCCCCGGATGTTTTCTTCGGATAATTCCGACGAGCACTCCATACCACTGAAAAACCGCGTCACTACCTGTGGTGTGACTAGGGAAGGGGGGGACATTCGTACGGCAATTCCAAGAAGGCCTTTTGCGCTCGTTCACCTTCACTGGAGAAGTTGGTCACTTTCCAACCTGCAATGGAAAACTGGACGGGTTCGGTGGGAGGGCACTCGACGAAGGCCGTCTGTGAAAGACCTTTTTTCATCCGTCCATCGGAAAAAGACGGTCAACGAAGCGTACTGCAGGCCTTGGAAATATGCGCATTATGCTTCATTTTTGAAAACAGCCCGTTTACTGGTGTGCGAGCAGCACTTCAACGCAGTATCTAAAACTGCTCTCACCCCGACGCTTAACGGAACGAATCCGGAAACGCACGAGGTTCCGCCCGCTACGAGGCCAAAATAATGCCACGGGTGACTTTTTCCGCTCTGGAGAACTCCCGAAAATAGGCCAGAAAAGGCGGGCACAAATCGATAACGGATAATTACCCGCCACAGAAGCAGCGACGGACACAAACAGTGATTCCCGGGGGTCGCTTTAATGCTCTAGCGTGATTCGGTGCCGCACATTCGTGCGTTTCGTTTGCGTTCTACGTATGGGCTGCGCGTTCGCAGCAGCCGTAGAGACGTGGCCTGCCATTGCAAATGGCCAGCAGGCTGCTTCCGTACGGCCGACGCGTGACCGACCGCAGCAAGCAATCTCAACGGAATCGAGCCGGAACGGGGCTCACCACAACGCGAGTAAATAGCGGCCTGCGCTCAAACGAGTCGGTGATGATAATTTTAACAAGATCACGGCATGGCAGCGCACGTAACTAGGCCTAAACAACAAATTCGCTCAACTTTTCCGACGCAAGTTGATACGCGGACACGGGGGGAACGTAACGAACAAGACGGGCGCCAGGTTTTGGTGTCCGTGTTTTAGTTTACGACGACGATTTCTCGCGGAATATGAACCAACGCCAGAAGCAAAGGCTTTACTGAAATACTACGCGTGAAAACGGCACATGGCTTCGTACAAGTAGAGTGTAGTACAAGTCAATCGCAAGAGGAAAACTTGGAAAACAGCAGCGTGCAGCTCAGTGAGACACGTAAAAATTAGCGCCTTACCGTACTCGTTGCTTTCAACGCATGACGCCAGCAGCTCCCGCGAAGCACTCGAACGATGCGACGCTCGGACCCGACCGAGAAGTGGGCTCGAAACGACGATGTCGAGCTAAGCCTAACACTACTCGAGCGTGCGAGTAGGAAAAATATTTCGGCGACGCGCTGAACACGGCGATGAGGCCGCAACTAGCGCGTTGTACTCAGTCAAAAGAAGGGTATAAACTGCGTAAACGACATTTTCGAATGAATTTTTCGCCTACAGCGCAGTCACAAAACGACAACAAAGTTACCTGCGTGCAGAGCGTGCGTCAGCAACAAACAACTACCGCAGAGCCATCTGGCTGATCTAACGCCGTTACAAAAAGTACATCTCAACAAGCACAAAAATCAAACTTTTGTGAATACTTTATATTTTTATTACGTATTTATTTGTAATCGTTCGTTTCTTTAAATAGTTCAACAAATAACTTTGAGAAGGCAGTGCTAGTTATGTTCTCGGAGTCGCATTTGCATTTCTCAAAGGCTACGCTTTTTTTTTTTGCTGCAAATTTAATTGACTGAATTTGTTGTTTTATATAAAAGTGTATAAATTTTTATTATATAATGAGTTTTAATGTTTTGATGTCTGACACCTTAATAACGTCAAAACCTTTTTGTCACCTTTTGATGCATAGTTTCGCTAATTTAGCGGTTTCGACGAACGTCGTCCAAAACGCTGGTATATGGGCCTCTTCGGCGTTTTTTTTCGCCGCAAGGCCTGCCGCCGTGCCATCCGCTTCATGTAATTTGCGCTAAGCCGAGTTTTTCTACGCGCTCTCGATTACGCCGATTATCACCGGCTACGTCTTCGTACGAACGTATTCAAAATGATGGGCGATCAGGAAGACTACGATGTTGAGGTGAGCCCGCACGACCTGGCCTCATCCGCGCCTGCAATATGTCTTGCTGTCTTCTCAACGGAATGCATGTCAAAAGCAGCCAATCTGGTGCCGGTTTCCCGTGAAAGCAAGCCGTGCCAAGTTTATCTGTGCGGTTCATTACACACCAAGGAGAAGTCGTTGAAAGATCCTTGACACTAATAGAGTTTATTCGTTAGTCTGATTCCGTCCCATAACCATGTGCAGTGAGTGCATGCTGCCGTCGGAAAGTCCGAAAACTCGCGTTCCACATCGTTTATTTTTTTTCTTTTTCATTGACAGTACGTCGATAACTACGGCTACCCGATCCACGATGGCGATCTTCATGGTGAGTTCAACGTTCCTTAAAAAATTCTTCCCCAGAACAAGTGGTAAAGTAATCAGGCACACACTGTGTGCCGGCAGAGTAGGCTGTATGGGTTGTTGCCGGCACTTCGCCTCTATTGGCTTGCCGGCAGCTGGTACAGTAGAAGCATGTAGAGGAATGCAGAGGCACACTTCAGGTTTGTCACAACCTGTGTTCTCCTGAGAATGACCACGATTGGCTGGTCTTGTGATTCAAATTTTGCGAAACAACCAGAAAGCATCTGCTGTATTGGCTCACTAAAAGCCTCCTTTAAAAGCATGTCGCTGTCCGGCGACGTATTTAACATAACTTGTACAATGTATGTAGCATAAAACGTGCTACTACAGTTGTTTGTTGCGTCAAGTACTCGGCACTCTGAATTTCGTGAACTGTTTGGTTGAGTACTTTAGTGGTTGCTTGTAGATCCCTGCACCCCCAAGGGGTTATATGAAATTTTCAGGCTACAATGCAGGAGGCTACAAGCTCACCGAGGCCATGCAGAGCACACTCGTGTTCCTCAAGAAGGCCATCCAGGAGAGAAACCTGTACGAGATTCAGAGCATCTACGAGAACAAGTAGGTCTTGCGTTGACACTAAACACTCTCACCGAACGTGCGACTGAGAAGAGAGCGCGTTCAGAGTACGTGACACGGCAGTGCTGCATTTCTGGTATCATCATCAGCAGCCCGACTACGTCCACTGCAGGACAAAGGCCTTACCCATGTTCCGCTAGTCAACTTAGTCCTGTGCTTTCTGCTGCCATTTTATACTCACTAACTTCTTAATCTCATCTGCCCACCTAGTTCTCTGTTTCCCCCTAACCCGCTTGCCTTCTCTAGGAATATAGTTAGTTAACCTTAATGACCAGTAGTTATCCTGTCTACATGCCCGGCCCATTTCCTCTTCTTGATTTAAACTATAATATCCTTAACCCCTGTTTATTCCCTGATCCTCTCTTCTTGTCTCTTAAGGTCACACCTATCATTTTCCTTTCCATAGCTCGCCTTTCGATTGTTCACTGCGTCGTCCTCAATGTAAGCTGTACCCTTTTTGTAAGTCTCCAGGTCTCTGCTCCATGGCTAATAAGTACCGGCAAGATGCAGCTGTTACAGTCGACTCCCGTTAATATGAAGTTCACGGGAACCGCAAAAAACTTCGAATTAAACGAACTTTGAATTATGCAAAAAGCACTAAAAACGGCGCTTTTAATAGTTTAAAAGCGCGACAGTTTTGAGGAAAAATAGTCTGTCATCTTCTTCTGCTTGCCGAATCTGGCTGCGGCTAGCAAGTTTTGTAAGGAATACACGTGTCGAAGTGCTTCTTCGGCGTTGTGTTCTCCAACAAAAAACCGCTGCGCAAGAGCAAGACCCACAGCTACATCGGCAGCCCTCGGTGGTGGCTCATTTCCGATATCGTCGTCATCATCGTCATGTTCAGGAATGCAGTCATGGGGCCGAACCATCTGCACGATTTCGCTGTTCGTTAGTGGACTGCATGTTTCGACGTTGCTGTCCACAGCGACATACTCGTCAAAATGGACGTCACCGAGAGCGGCGCGAAAGCTACCGTCGTCGAGCTCATTTGTTTGCACTTCCACTGGCGCACAAGGATCCCCCGAGTTTTCCATGAAACCACAGGCCCGGAAACAATTGGCGATGGTTTCTTCTTTCACGCGGGTCCAAGCTCGCGCTAGCATGTTGATGGCACTAAGCAAACACACCTCGTATTGCGACGAGTTGTCCATGCACAAAAGCATGCGCTCGACGAGATGCTGCCTATACAATACCTTCACATTTTTTATTATGCCCTGGTCCATGGGCTGCAACACGGACGTCGTGTTTGCAGGCAGGTACACAAGACGGATGGCACTCAAGGCAGGTACGTTCATGTGGGCACTACATTGGTCCACAAGGAACAACACCTTACGGCTTGATTGCGCGAACTTGCGGTCGAGTTTGGTGGATCCAGTCCTTAAATATATCGGATGTCATCCACGCCTTTCTGTTCGAGGCATAATCCACAGGAAGTGTTTTCACGCCTTTAAAGCACCTAGGCTTGGCAGCCTTCCCGATCACAAGCAGGCGACACCGTTCTGTGCCAGTCATGTTCGCCGCGACTAGCACTGACACTCTCTCTTTGCTTCTTTTGCCTCCAGAACAGTCGTCGTCTTTAAATGTCAGGGTCTTGTCCGGTAGCAGCCGATAAAAAAGCGCAGTCTCGTCTGCATTAAAAATGTCTACCGGCTGGTATTCTTCGAGCTACTCGCGAAGCTTGCCCGCTTTCCATGTCAGGCACGTTTCCTCATCGACTGACGCCTTCTCCCCACACACGCTTTTAAAAATCAAGTCGTGGCGATGTTTGAAACGCGTAAGCCACCCATCTGAAGCAGCGAAGTCGTTGATGCCCAACATTTCAGCAAGCGATGACGCTTTTGCCGTGACGACTTCACCACTGAGAGGAAGTTCGTTGTTTCGTGCCTCTCTGATCCAAATCAGCAGTGCTTCCTCCAACTCGGGGTAGGCGCCGGTGCGCATCCGCTTCCGCAATGTCTTAAATTTTTCACTTTCAAACGCATCCAATATTAAGCGCTTATTATGAAAGTCGACAGCGTGTTAGGCTTAATGCCGTACTTTCTTGCAATGTCTTGTTTGGCGGTGCCTCCCTGGTCAACTTCCTTCAAGACTTCGACTTTCGTCGCTAGGTCTAGCGTTCGGTAAGGGCCACGAGTTGCCATTATCAAACGTACGTCACCACCACAACACTCAAAATCAGAAGCGCGGAAACACGTGTGGAATCAACCCAGCGCGCGGGTGACGCGGTGACACACTCGAGTCTCGACAAAAGTCAACTAAAGAGTCAGTCGATGCCGCCGATGCGATTCGCCAGTGTTAAAAAGATTGCCGCTTCAAGATCTGTGGCGCTGCGGACAGTAGTGTTGGCGAAGACACCCGCGCGGTTCGGCAGATGTTTTGGCATATGAAAAGTTCCCCATTTTACTGTAAAATTACGGTCGCGACGAGACTGTCGATTGAAAAAACTTCTAATTAACCAATATTGTGGGTTTTTAACTTCGAATTATCGAGCATTTTTTTCTATACGATTGCATGCAAAACTGATGGGACCACTTGCTCATTTCTAATTAACCGAAACTTCCAATTAAGCGACTTCGAATTACCGGGAGTCGAATGTATATACCTTCCTTTTGAGGGATAGTGGCAATCTACCTGTCAAGATTTTAAAGTGCTTGCCAAATGTTCTCCACCCCATTCTTATTCTTCTAGTTACTTCAATCTGGTATATAATTTATCTTGACAATAGAGCGACAGTTACAGAGTTTGGGATCTTGCATGTGCTTCAAGTAGTACGTCGTAATAACTTTTTCTATTACTCCAGTTCAAGTGGTACAGCAGCGCGTGGCTGATAATGATTTCGCTCGCTTGCAGCATCAACGTGTTTATTCAATTCGTTTACCAGAAAACAATCTGGAGGGACACCTGGGCAAAAAGCTGTCTCAGCAGATTGACGAAGGCCCAGGGTTATAAAATTATATCCATGAAAAATGTGAATGGGAGAACCTCTTCGATTGTTCGGGGTGCATTTTAGCATCGTATTGCGAGTATATTTCTTCTTGGAGCACTAAACAGTGCATTTGTGGTGGCGCACTGACCCAGTGCATCATGGACGCCATGTTTACTTTAAAGAAAAGTTGGTGCTGTCAAAGAAAAGGAAGGGAAGGCTTTCTTGTTAAGGGAACACTAACTGAATTGTACCTACGACATCCTGCAGCTGTTTGATTTTTGTAATAAGTAAAGCAGCGTTCATTTCAGCAAGGCGGATGAAGAACTTATCGGCAAACTATTCCTAGGAGCGGTAGTAGACCGGCATTTCAGTTCTGTAGCTTCCACAGAGTTGTCAAGAAATGTTGCCGAGTATAGAGAGAGGCAGTTTCACTTTAGCTTACGTTTGCTTGAGGTCTCAACTTGACGCAGAAAATAACAGCCTCGTTTAAAAGGGACTACAGTGTAGGTCCAATAGTTTGCATGGCATGCCTGTTGATGAGGCAGCAAAGATTGGTTAGTACGATTATCGAAATCAAAATAAAGAATCTCTAATTACCTTAGAGTAGTGATAGAAAAGCTAGGAAATGTACACAACAAGAGAGAAAAGATACACTTGGCACGTGGAGGGACTCACAAGAATTTGCTCAAGAAGTGCGGAGGAAGTACAGAAGTTCATAGGGGTGTCTAAATTGTGCATGTCTGAGCAGCATGTCTGAGTAAATTGTGCATGTCTGAGTAAATTGTGCATGTCTAAATTGTGCATGTCTGAGTAAATTAAGGTGCATACAGTTAATGCCCGTAAGTCTTAGTACAAGCTGAAATGTGTCACTAATTTGCATGAAGTGTTAAAATAAGCGCGCAGTGGTGTTCTTTCCAGTGTCTATTAGGCAGGTAGTGGTGCTCTGGTCGGCGTCATTGCGAACAAAGACAAAATGCATGCTGGCATGCTCCACAAGTGAGAGCAGAGAATAAGCTGGGGACCCATCTTAGTAGGAAGCGCAGGCGCTATTACACAGAACACACAACACAAGCACTTCTGTGTTCTGCGTATTAGTGGCTGCGCTTCCTACCAAGATGGATGCATACCAACTGGCCCGATACAATTGTTTATTAAGCTGGGCAGCCTGGGAAGCAGTGCGACTAGCCACTTCAATGTCGCCGTTCTTCTTCACTACTGACAGCACTTCATACAGTACACTCGTTGAATGTAACCCGGTGGGAGCAGTTTTAGCTGGAGTTCCATTTGCCGAGAAATAAACAAAGGTGCATAATTCAAGTCTGAAATCAATCATACCTGCGGCAGCTTCGTTAGAACAGGAATTTCGTTAACCAAGAGTTTGCCGTGTTTTATGAGATTCTACACAGGGGCGTAGACATTTTTTTTTATCTCTCTTTGTCCCGGTGGGGGGAGAAGGGGAGGCACCTCCTTGATCAGAAGTAGGGGCCGGGCTGGCAAGTGGTAATGTTGTGCTATGTATGGCAGGACAAAATATTTCAGACAGAGCCAGAAGTTCTGCATGCCAAAACGATTTAGTTATAAGGCTGGCCATAGTGAGAGAGACTGGATGACTTTTCACCAACTAGGGGTTTTCTTCGATGTCCACCTACATTTAAGCACATGGGTGTTCTTGCCGTTAACGGAGTCGCGGCCACCATTGCTCCAAATCAAATCTGCATCTTTCAGCCTAGAAGTGCGAAACTTTAGCTACGAAGCTATCAAGGCGGGTACCACACCCGCTGGTTGCAAGATAAAGGCAGACATAAATTAAGACCATTTCCTTAAAATTCGAAAGGGCATCTGGACGTAGCTCATTAGGTACTTCCATATGATAGGATCAGCTTATTACTGAACACTGACTTTAACCGAGAGTGAATGTGGAATGATGGAGCTTCCTAACTGTCTTTTGAATTGCCAGTTTGTCGGGTTGCGTTTCTTTATGTAACTGGCGAAACAACTTGCCATTGCAGCCTCGCCAAGCTGATGGAACAGCACAGCAAGGTGATGCCGCCACCAAACTCCAAAGAAATGGCCCTCATCTTAGATGGTAAGCAAGCTTTTTGTCTGTGCAGCACATTGTCACATGGATGGGTGTAAAAGAGAGGTCTGAGAGAACGAACGTTGCGTCCCTTCTGTGTACAAAACTTTGCCACCCTTTGTGAGTACAACGAAACTTTGCAATAAGGAAGTTGCTTTCAGCACGACAGTGCCCGCGTCGTACATGAGTATTCAGTCAATCGCACACTCTGTGTGTGTGATCGCTGAGTGGGTGTGGTCGAGTGCCAGGAACAAGCAGAAGTGGATCAGTAGTATAAATGTCATTTCGGCTTTTTCATACTTGTAGAGCATGGCACTTTCAGCTGGCTAGCTGATTTTTCACTGTGTGACATGTTTCTTTAGTGGCCTCTTTCGTCACTGTGGTATGGGTTTTAGGGCATATGTAGTTTGAACGTTATGCTTGTTGTAGTGCAAGGTGTGTGGCTTTGTTACTGAACCTCAAGGTCTGTTCTCGTTCTTGACAGATCACATCTTCATGATTCTGTACAAGGAGTTGTACTACCGCCAGATCTACGCTCGGGTGAGTGTGGAGATCTCGCACGAGCTGTGTGCTTTAACAAATGTATTAAGCTAGAAAAGCAGTCGGCGTCTATTCATATGGTGGTAGTCCTGGTTGTAATTTTAGTTAATTGACCTACCTTTAACCATGCAACTCTGGTGATACTGTAATTGCAGCATGTGGAGTAATTGAACACGAAAGTATTTGCTTGGCATCATTACTTGTGAGCGTAGAAAGTGAGCATACTGTAGGCACATATGACACTGGAGCTAAATATTTACAATAAAAACCCTCTTGGATTTTCGAAAATGAAGCTTTGCAGTTGATGAAGATTCCTTAAACAGCAACTGCCTTCTGCCCTATCGAACATAAATGGTTGTTGCTCGTGGCGCATTTGATCTAATAGAATATTTAATAAGGCCTCATTGAGTTTGTTAATTGCATTGCTGCCAACTAAGCCATTGTATGGCTGATGAATCGATTGGTGTGATATTTATTTTACTTTAATGATGAGCTCTAAGTAGCATTTGGTGATTTGTAACAATTAGCACCAGAATTTGTGGTGCATCAGTTGCAATCTTTGCTTATAATCTCTCAATGGTATAGGAGTGTTGCACGTGACGTCATCCGCTTGAGGCGCTAGCAGCGTTTGCCTCTACCGCTGTGTCAGTGGCCTTGGGCTCTGGGCACGCCACAAGCGGTGAGCAGCAGTGAGAGGTTGTGTGTGTGCCGCTACATATGGCACCAACGTGGTGAAATGCGATTGAGTACTTACACGCGTGACTACCGGGGTCCAGCGCAACTTCGCCACAAACATAAGGTTTATCTTTGCGGTAGATATCGATTCGCACCACGTCAGCAGCGATGAAGCTGTGTCTGATGTGAAACCTTATTTCCACATTGAGCTCACGGAGATGGAGGACCACTGTTGGCAGCACAAGCTTAAAGCATATAAATAATGGACGCGGACACCCACAACTATGTGACTAGTGGATGGGTCCAACAGCACCGAGTTAGAGACCTCGGAGATGGCTGCCACGTCGTCGTCTTGCTTGGACGAATAATTTTTGTCACCGCGGTGGTGTCGCTTCACGAATTCTTTGTATGGGAGGGCTTCACCGTTTGCAAGACATTTGGTATACAGTCGCCGACCGATTTTTCGGACCTGGCGGGGACCGAAAAAAAGTACGAAAAATCGAACAGTCCGAAAAATTCGTTTTCGCCAAAAATCTGAAGTTTATTGCATCAGGCAGGTTTAAAAAAGTCCTTGATGCTGCCTTGCCTCAAACTACGCTTGGAGGCAATTTGGTTTGCCCGTGTTTGCGCCAAGGTGACATCGTCGCCGTAAACGCTCGACAAAATTGTCACCGCGTTGGCGATCTCCGCCGCCGACGGCTGCGGGCGGTCGTCGTTGTCGTCATCCGACGACAACGACGACCGCCATCCGGCATCGACCGTCATCCGGCGACATCTAGCTGCGAACGTCCACTCTCTATTAGCTTGATTATGGCAGCTTTCTTCTCCATCGTCAGGGTCGTATACTTCCCACCCTTCTTCACACTACCTGGCTCCCGCGATGGCACAGATGGCAGAGCCATGGCACCAAGAACACATAATTCGATGCCGCAGATAGCCGCTGCGAAGCACACAACGTCTCGACGCTACGCGACACAACACGTGCAGAATGGCGACTGAAAAAAGCTGCAACGACGATAAAAGAATCCTTCTTTGGCCTCCTCCCTGTGCGATGTGATGACGATAGTGCTGACCGAAGACGAAAAAACGGCATCCATCACCGCGTCTTTTAAAAAGCAAACGCGGCCTCCGAAACTTAAAATATGGCGTGCGCATTCCAATCTCGGAGGCAGAAAAGGCATCTGAAGACCAAGCTTAGCCAAGCCGACGGAAAATCCAACATGGCGGCGTTCACAATGGCTTGGGGCGTGGCACAAAACGAGCGATTTAGTCCGAAAAATCGAACTTTCAGGGGCAAATTCGTCCGAAAAATCGGTCGAAACAATGCATTAGCTCTATGGGATCCCTGACGGTGCATTTACGAAGTCCGGAATATCCAACAAGTCCGAATTTTTGGAGTCCGGAAAATCGGTCGGCGACTGTAGTTTGTTTGTGGTTGAGCTCAAGCCGCTTGGGATCAAAAATGCTCTTTGCTGCAGGGTCCAACGACACGTGTCGGGCAATTGCGCACCCAGAGATCATATACGCATACCTGCCAAATCTTCCGGTTTTCCCATACAATGTACGAATTTCGACCGCACCTACAACTTTACGAATCCTGCTGAAATTTTATGAAAAATATTTCATTTCCCAAAAAAACCTAATTAGTAAAATAGCGTAGCCTTCACTATTGGCTATAGCGCATTGCCGTAGTTAGGGGGATGGGGAGTGTTTATGCTTAGAAGAAGGAAGAGAAGAGAAAAGTGAGCCCCGTAACTGTCTCCACCAGGTGCGACACCTCAACAGTAGCCCACAAGGGATAGGTGTGAGGAGGGATTAAAAGGATAGGAATAAAGGTGTAGAGAAAGAGAGATGAGATAAGCCAGTGAGCGAAGACATATCGAGGGGATAAAAGAGATAGGAAAGATGGAAACATGGTAACACGAGTCCGAGGACGGGGCACCACTTGCGAGAGTTTTTGTCGGCGTCGGGAGATGGCGTAGAGCAAATCCAGTAGGTCAGAGCTACGCTGTCGATGATCGGCGTCAGGAGATGGCGTAGGGCAAGCCCAGTCGGCCAGAGCTACGCTGACGTCGGAGATCGCGAGGGCACAACCGGTCGGCACGAAATCCAGCGAGCGAGTACCCCCGTAGTTAAGCCCGAAACATATTCGGCGTTTCTGCCAGTGTTTTCCTGGAACCGCTTTCCTCAGCGTCATCGCGGCAACGCCGTCACAGAGTGTGTCAAAAAGAATGAACCCGAGACCCACAACGCAGTGTGCAGTGTCCGTCAATGCAGCAACAAGAAATAATCCTGAAAACCGTTTCATGTCTTATTTGCAGTTCTGAGGTGATAAAAACAAATCACAGTACCACCGAAAAGTTTTTTTTTTTACTTCTAGCGCCAGCTGTTGAGAATAGGAAGAACCAGAAACTCGCACTATACGGCCCCTGAGCTTGGAAGTTGTACATCTTTGGGGCCACATATTCAGCCGTTACACTCAGACCTGCTAGGCCTACCGATTATTACTTGAGTATGGTGCTCGAAAATGGTTCGAAGAAATCCAGAGTGCTTCCTGTCAGAGCTTCTGAGGAACAAGCTAAGTCAAATACAAGCATCAGTTGAGAATTTTCAGGTCACACAGAGCACTGCGACGACTTAATAGATCTGAGGCAGGTGGCAGTTATTTTGACAGCAGCAAACAATGATGCTGTTACGTATCATAAATTGCTGGCAGCTGTGCGGTGATTGGTTCTCCATTTGTCGACTTGCTACCGGCGTCGGCATTGGCGCTGCAGATATCTGAATCATCCAGAAGTGGACGCTTTGGCCACCGTCACCGGCAGCGTTGACGCTGAGTGACGCCAGCGTACGAAACATCGGAAAAACGCTGCATATGTTTCGAGCTTTAGTCGCAGAGGCCACAAAAAAAGGTGACACCAGGAGAGAACAATATCTATTGGTGTTATCATCACACACCTGCCAAATCTCCCGCACTGTGCGGGAGACTCCCAGACTTCGACAGTTTCTTCCGTTTGCACGGATGCCATGAAGATCTCTCTAAAATTGAAATTTGTGTGCAAGATCTGGCGGCATTAACAAAAATGCAGGTCAGTCCATTGCGGGCTTTTTGTGACCCCACCATATTTTATTTTAAACGATTTTGAGAGGCGTTCTCAGTGATGCAAAACTGCGTCAAATACGAACTCGTGAAATTCTCCAGCCAAAGTCGTTTCCATTGGGCTGAAATTCGAATGTTCCGAACACTTTTCCTAATTGCGGCGTGTGATATGAACTTAAGTACCGAAATCGTTGAATGAAGGCCGATCGAGAGCAGCGTGCTCGAAGCTTTAGAAGTATGTGTGCGAACAGTGCACGCATTGTTTCTTCAGTGCGCGTGGTTGTCGTTGTCACAACCGCTGTAGACGAAACTGCGGTCGATCGACACGATCATGTATGGCGACGGCGTTACTGACAGAACTCCGACAGTGTGCGGCGGCCTACGCTCAACCAGTCAAAGCAACCCTGCTTTCCGCCAACTCTGTGGACAACTGTGTTGCGATCATAGATAGCATAAAACAACTCGGTTTTGAAGGCATGTGGATTAAAGATGAAGCTACCGTTTGCGCAACGGCGGTGCACAAAACCACGGTCGCGGCAATGCGATGGCGATCTACAAGCTCCGAGTGCACGTGGTTGATGCAGCGGTAGATTAAAGGCGGTAAAAACTGTAGGGGTGCTGACACCCTTTGTAAAGTTGTTTGCGCCGCGTGGCGCGCGTCTCGCACAGAAGCCGTATTTCGGGGGTGACAACCGCCAGACGACAGATTGCACTGTGTTCGCATTGAGTACCACTGTTGGTAGAGTGGTAGTGCCGGCGGTGACCCCTGGCGGAAGGCACGCCTTGGTGGCGGGCGAGAGTTGAGCGAGTCTCTTCGGCGCGTGGTGGTTGCCGCGAACGGTTGTCTCTTGCGGTGGGTCTGCCATGGACGGCACCGCGGGCTGCCGACGGTAGGCCCACGTGGTGAGTGAAGCGTTGGCGACGCCGCGTTTTGTGTGTTTGGTGTGTTACTGTGTTATGTTGTTTGTATGTTAGCGTGCTAATTACAATTTATGTATCATCCAGCGGACGATATCGTCGTTGTAAATTAGTTAAATAAATGTATGTTCTTTTGGTTTGTACCGACCGTGTCTGCTGTGTCTGTTCACTTCAAGAGCATGGCGGAAGCCTCGCTCGCCAATTCGAGACCCCACAAAACCTAAAAAAGGCTAGAAGCGTTTTGGCATTCCTGTCCAAAGAATCTAGTTGCGAGCAAAACCAAAGCTTTGACCCGCGCTTTCGCAACAGCCAGCTGTTGCGAAAGCGCGGGTCTGTTCACGTGTGGAGACATAGGCAAGTTGTTTTGACGGAAATCGATTTTTTCGCTTGTTGTTTTGATGGCGCGAAATTTCGATAGCATTCGCGCTCCCCCTCTAACCTTAGTGGGAAACCCTACCCTCATGTGTTCAGCGAGTCCAAGCCATTATGAGATCGCAACGCCGATGTTTGCACTTGTGTTTGGGACTTTCCCCCCCCCCCCTCCTCTTGTTTTTCGCGGTTTTTTTTTTCTTCTTTTTTTTCTTTTGGTGCTAGAAATGGGAAAAGGGAATTTAGCGTGTTGTTTTTGACTTAGGCGGCAAAGCATGATTATGCTTTTGGCTAAAAGCAAATTCATCACAATTACAAATTTAAATAAAGTTGGTAACCCCCTCCGCTCCCCTTTCCCCACTCCAAGGTTTTACGAATATTTTTGTTGCCAGGTTGGCAGGAATGCATACAGTCTGGATTGTAGCTGATTGGCGTTAATGTGATGTCACCGTTTATGTGCTTAGCTGACCATTCTCTTAAACAGTCAGCGATGCAGTGCGCTCTCGTCAACGAGAACGCACTGTGTTGCTGACTGTTTACTATCGCACTGAAATCAGTAACATGCCGCACCTACCCGAATGATACCGCTGATAAGCAGCGATTGCGCATGGAGTGCGTGCACTTGTCTCCTGCTGTGTAAAGAAATCTTCATAACACGTCGCGAAAACCTAAGTTTTTCACCACAAAAGCAGACCCCTATGATGTTGCGTAGGTTCTAAACACTTACCGGAAATGAAATGTTTAACGCACACGCAGTATAGTGTGTGGCTGAGCCATCCAAACCTTTACGATTGGTTTACTATCACTTTAGGTAAGAAGGGTAAAAAAGCCGACATCAGACGTTTCCTCATGACCAGGCTTTTTACTTGAATGGTTGGGGCAACCGAATATGTACAGTTCACCATTACTATCATAAGAATCTCGCATGGGCGTCTGTGCGAGATTCCTCACTGACACCCGTAAGTGTACATACTGCGACTACGGTGGCTGCCACCGTAGTCGGTGGCTGCCGGGAGAGAGCACAAAGATTGATATGCTGCCTCTTCGACGTTGGCGCCATCTCGTGGGCCACGCCCCTGTGCAACCCTCCTATATCAAAACGTTTTAAGTGCGATTGCGAAATAGAACATGGTAATTTTATAATTAAGACTTCACCCTGTGTATGTGTGTGTATATCTTTTTCTCTTGTTGCCTCTGTTGATTGCAGGGGTCCCCGAAGATTGACGAGAGATTTGAGTCGTACTACAACTACTGTGCCCTCTTCAATTACATATTGAGTGAGTTTCTGTTGTTTTATGTGTAGAGCACTTCAAAGGGCGTGGTTGTCGTATGCTGTCATTGTCGCTCAGCATAACGCTCTATGTGTAGCGTACCGAGTGCACGCTCGGGCTACGGAGGAGGCTTGATGATGATCACTTTGTAGCGTACATGTATCCCGAAGGAGTACGGCCACTAGCGTGGGTTCGGTCTTAGCGAGCAATAGGGCCGCTTTCACCGACGCCTAGTGTGGCTAACGCCGCTGCACACGCGTGTTCAGACAGCCAAGGTGTTGAGCGCAGCGTGGCAAGTACACAGTACTGCTCCCAAACAATTTGCAACGCTTTATTGCCTGCAGCAATACCAAAAACGCAGTACAGCGCCCTTTGCAAAAAGCAACGGGAAAGCAAACGAGGCTTATCCGTACCACGGGCGTAAAGTACAACACAAAGGGTGCCGCAAGGGAGTCTTTATGGGCAAAATGGATTCGCGGGGACACGCCACTGAGGGAAACGGGCCCTCACAACTATGCTGCGCGCTCTCACGATCAGGGACATAAGGGCCAGATCGCTCGAGCGAGGGCACACTCTGTTCGCGTTGGCTTCGAAAGACACTGATTGGCGTAGTACGACCACACGCAAACACGCCCTTCGTCTTAGCGTTTGGAAGGAGCAACGAAAAGTAAGCGGTCGCTGCGGGCGCAAGGCGCTGTTCGCGAGTCCAAGCGAGCTCCAAACAAAGGGAGCCAACGACGGGAAAGAAATGTGTGCTCACTCTTCGTTTCCTGAAGAGTTTCTGGCTGACTCCCGAACGCGCGTGCGATGCGTAGCGAGAAACTCGAGCGCAGCGCCACAGTCGACATCCGGGTGAGAGGGGTCAACATCTCTCCCCCGATGGCTACGGACTGTGCAGGAGGGGAGAGTTATGCTAGGACACGCGAATTGCACAAATAGGCGAAGAAGTGCGCACAGTGGCAGGGGACTAGCCTCAATTCTTACAACTAATCGTTAGCAAAAAAACAAGTGCACCTTGGCATGACGCATAAGGAAAAAAAAAGAAAAGAAAGATAAAGCAATCACGAAATAGAGAGAGACACCAAAATAAGGCGATAAATTAGAAATGGGAAAATTATGTTAAAAGAGGAGAAGAAAGAAATTGAGAAAAAAATCGAACAGGTGAAAAAGAGAGAAGGAAAATATTACTAAAAAGAAACGAAGGCGGCCCAGCTCTCTAGTTCCGTCAGGCTTTGCCACCCCTGGTGTCAAGCTGCCTTATTTTTATTTTTATTTTTTCCCTTCGTGTGGAATGGCGGTAGGAACAGCAGTAAACTGGAATGCCAGGAAGTACTGCATTTGGGTTTAGGCAAAGTAAATTTGCTATTACTCTGAAACCTCGATACAACAAACCCTGATATAATGAAATATTGGTTATAACAAAGTAAACAGTCTTGAAATATAGTGTTAGGAATAAACCTTTATAACGATTTTTTTAGATATTTTGGAACTTGTTTTTGTGTAAGATGCAACTTTCTTATAATCAGGTTTGAGTGTATAACTTTGTTTAATAATTGGTTATTCCAAATTAGTCAGGTTTGGTTGCAGCCATTACATGAGTCTGTGTATAGTTCCTGTAGGTCATTTTACGCCTGTTGTACTTGGCAAGACATGATCGAAAAGCTATAGTTGCTGTATTTTGTGCGCATAACCCGACTCTGCATATAACCCGCCGCCCCAACAAGAATCATCGGAAATGTGACAAATGTTGCCACATGTTGCCTTATTTGTTTTAGTGTAAAGAAGTGTGGTGAAGCCAACTTGTGCAGCAAAATTTGCGTTTATTTGTGCCACAACTTCAGCTCAATATTTTCTCTACACACTCAAACCAAGAAATAACGCACCACGATATAAAAAAATATAGGTTATAACAAAGTGAATGAAAAATAGCTTTGTCATAGATATAGTGCTAAAAGTACATGTGTTTAGCAAATTTTTGGAAATAACGAAGTATTTTTGTGGCAGGTGTGACTTTGTTATAGAGAGGTTTGAGATAATTTTGCTTTCGGCCCAAACATGGGTACGACCCGCAACTACGACATTGTTGTTCCTTAAGACCCAAATAAAGTTTGTTGACTGACGGACTGCGTAGGTTATGCAGAAAAAAAAAATGCGGTAATGCCAGAGCCATTCTAAACACACACTGGAAGTATGGCACCTTACTTCAGCACCACGAAGAAAATGAAAAATGCTAGTTCCAATTCGTTTTAGAGCCATGGAGATCTCGTTTACAACAAACCGTGCTGTTGATATCCTAAAGTAAGCGATGCAGTTTCCAGCCACGAGTCACGTCCACCAGGTATCTCGCTGTAGATGCTTGGCGTTCTAAACGTGGGAAAGCAACATCTATTGTGTACCAGCAGTGCCACGGCTTACCTTTGTGGGCAGTGTCACGTGTTGGTGTCGTAGTCACTGCTAGGAACTGGCGACTGGTTACCTTGCTCAACCATTTGCTTCCTCGACGTAGTGACTGACATTTGAGAAGAGCAACATGTACCCACTTTGCTAACGGGTATGTCTGAATTTAGTTTGCCGGTTACTCTGGACGTTACCACCTGTTTTACCAGCCGGTGTAACTATCCTCACCGATGCAGTGTCCTTGCTTCAGGAAGTGCTGCATTTAGGTTTGGGTAAGGTAAATATTATAAAATTCGCTGTATATAAACTTATATAGAAAATAAATTTGGTGCACCAAACTTTATATAATATACTTCTATTCTATGTTTGAATTTTTGAACACTACGCAGCACTACTCGTCTCGACATGAAATTTCATTTTTTGCACACCCCTAATGTTTAGTTATCTTGGTGATTGTTACATTAGTTATCATTTAATTAACAATTCAGAGCAAACAAGAAATGCAGCTGTGGCCAAGCACGGCTAGACTACAGAGGAGTTGCATTGTGCATGCAAAGTCTCATCTCTAGTTTAGCCATGGCTCTAGTTTGTTGGCCTCTCGTCACGGCATGCGCCGCCGATGGTTCTTCATGCTCTCGCAGTGCGTGGGCAGACACATAACGGCTTTTTACCCGATTGGAACTTGCAGCACTGACACACTAAACGATGTCGATGTCTGTGATGTCGCAGTTACCTGCAGGCACGGATGTTTTAGTGCGGAATTCGAAAGTAAAACCCTGACCTTCGCATTTTTATTGTAACAGTAAACATGTGATACAAAATTGAGGACAGAATTTTGTAACCATTCGCAAGTCTAAACAGATTCAGCGTCATTCCTTGTTGTCATTTTAAAGGGTCCTAGGTGTTAATAAGTAACTTAGAGCCATCTGCTATTGTTTCTTGGTTCATCCACCAAGCTGTGTTGCATTGTTCTATTCCATAATCTAGAAGACCAAGTTTGGGCAGATATTTTTAGCTGTTTTACTATTAGGCAAGCTATGGTAGTTATATTAGTTACCTTTGAATTAAGGAAGCAGAGCAAGCAAGGGATGTAGATTCAGACGAAACAAGCAGAGTTTTATCTGGATCTCTCACCCTTGTTTGCTTTTCACCGTTAATTAAAAAATGGTTTTTATAGTTTAATCAATCGATTACACATCGTGACGGATGACTTCTTATGTTTCATCTTCAGGCACTGATGGACCTGTGGCGCTGGTACTTCCGAACCAGTGGCTGTGGGAGCTCATCGATGAGTTTATTTATCAGGTGAGATTCGTGAACCAGTAGATGTAGTACACTGCTCTGGTGTTCACTGGAATAAAGGTCGTAGAAAAGTATCGCAGCTTCATAAAACATCAGTCAAAAAATATTCATTTTATTAGGCTGTCATTCTTTTGGCCGTTCATTTGTTTTATGGCTCAGTCTTTTTCCTACTTTTTTTTCTTCAAACATCTCTCGAAGCGCAGTAGTCTAGAAAGCTTATTCTTCTCCATGCGTTGGTTACTTCTTTGCTTGGACTATAGAATTCAGTAACTGCCTAAACTATTCCCCAGTTAGCATGTGCAGCTGTACTATTAGCATACGTGATTTGGTGAACTCTGTGACATGAGGCACATTCTACACCATCTGCCATTGTTGAGGGGCATGCAGACGTGTTTTGCCGCTGCTCTTGCACCCTTCCTCCTTTTTAATGCTGGTTAAAAGAAGTTTACTGACCTGCCTCACAAAGGATGAGCGATCAGTTATGTGAAAGGAAGCGTCGAGTTTGTTTTTAAATGGTTACTTGTGGTGTGTGGGTACAAACTTGATGTGTTAATATTCAAGAGGTGGGCCTTTCCTCTGGAACATTTAATGTTAAGAGCACTTTTGTCCTTTACAACTGCATTCAGCCACTATGACCCTTTTCAACGTGATGTCAGTGTTCCGTTTTACATTGTTCACGGCTGTACGCGTGGCAGCCAGTTCACCAGCTGGCGTTTCCTCAAAAGAAGTGCTGTGACACAAAAATAATTCCAACCTTCGTTGGCAGCATGCGGCCAACCGTCACTTGGTACTGTGAAGTATCACGAGTGTGCAAAATAAGTTCTGAGGCTTGGCACAATCTAATACAAAACGCAGAACAGCATGTCAGTGTCGTAGGTGTCTCATTAAAATGTGCCGTGCGAGATAATCGCGAGAAATGTTTCATGTAAGTGTTGCTATTTCTTCCGAGCTTCTGTGTGTAAGGGCCAAGTGGCTTGAACGTGATGGGCAATTGTGTGTCTGTGTGCAGTTCCAGTCCTTCAGCCAGTACCGTAGCAACCTAAGCAAGAAGTCTCCCGATGAGATTGAGCAGCTCAACACCAACCCCAAGGTGAGTCGAGGAAAGAACAACCCCGCAAGTGGGATGAAGTATTTATCTTTACTACAGTTGACTCTCGATAACTCTTAACTTCGGGGAATCTCACAATGTTGTTTGAATTATCAGTTGTCAACAGTACGAGTTGGGGCAACATACCAAATAGCACTGTGGTGTTTAGAGTCTCTCATCATCGCACCGACATCATAGACACCTTCGAATGATTTCCCGCAAAGTTTAGAGACATCAGCAATCATACTGGCACTCTATTGTATGATGGGCACCCACAAGTGTGAATAAGGAACGAAATGTGCTATGTCTCATGACGCCCGGTAACCCCTTCCCAATCCTGGGACACCTTTCTGCATGACAACAGTGTACGGCAGCAAAAGTAACTTGAAAATGGCATTCAGCACGCAAAAGGCTAAGGCCAGATCGTTGCTCTCTATGTCATGCAATTGTTCGTGTGAGCAGTTTGCCTAGTCTGGCCGTTTGCAGGCAGGCAATCAGTTTTATTTGCAAGTGCTAGGGACAAAGGAACGAAATTGCTCAGCCAGGAGAAACACAGGCAGCAGATATTTCAGGGCTTTAAAATAAATCAAGAGTCTTGAGGAAAGACACTCCTCAACAAAACTTTTTTTTTATTTTTAGTCATAGACACTTGAAAATTCTGTTATAGTTTTCCAGGCAGATTTCAAATATGTCATCATTTTTCGTGTACCTGCTATAGTTATGCCACCATGCACAATAGCAAAAAGTTACATTTTTTGCAGGTACTCTTTTATGTACTTAACTTTCCGTAATAGTATTGTGTCTGATCTTATTTGACTCTTGGTAGATTGTGAAGTGCAAATTTCTATCCATATATGTCACAGAAATATTGAAACCAAGAAAAAAAATTGTATTTCTTGACTAATTATTTTTCATTTCTTTTCAAACAATAACCTAATATTTTCACAACTAATGCAGGTAGGCGTTGCAATTTCAAGTAGACATTTGCATTCTGCATGTGTTGAAGAATATATATGCCATGTTTCGTTGCTATACAATAAGTATAAGTGTCTAAAAGGCTGCCTGGAAAGTGTGAAATTCTAAAAAAAAAATGAAAATGAGAAGAATTTGTAAAGTTAGCATTTAATAGAAAACCATTCTTTTTGCATGAAATTGGGGCGCAATGAAAAGCACCTTGCACTGAATGTTCAGAAGACCGAGAATCGCACAAAATCTTGAAAGTTGGTCATGGCCTGCACCTGCCAGAACTGCCTTCACGTTTACAGCAAAGCTGTCACGCGAGCTGCCGCTGTCGAAACGATCGCACGTCCCTTGGTCCCTGGCCAAGGTGGTACGTCTCGACGTGTGTGTGAATGAAAGTGCAGATCCATGGCAATCTGTATTTTTACATCACACTTCGAGGAATTCCAAAAGCCCTTTGCGCTTTTCAGCTACCTCTCAGACGCCGAGCTTCCGTTCGGAGCAGGTTGGGCATTGCGCACCCGCCACGAGGGCAGTCAGCGCGTTGATTTCAAAAAGCAACGTGTTGGCAATAGCAGCACTTAATGGTCTACGTTCACTCTCCAAAAATCCGATCTTCATTTGGTATGCACTGACGAATACCACGACAGAGGCTATTTCACAACCTCTGTCGCCGGGTTCAATGTCGGTGTTAGGCCTATCTGAAGTTGGGGCGTTGGTTGGTGGTAACATCATCGTTCACTGTCGCTTTGGGAAGTGTCCGACGCTGTTTCCCTTGATACTTGTGGCAAGTTCTGAACTTACGATTATCTAGACCGCTTCTTGGGGCTTGCCATGTCGCGAAAATGCAGAGAAACGCCGAAAAACTCGATTGAGTGAAATAGTGGTTCTTGAGAAGAAGAAAAAAGCATTTAATTTCTGTCTGCCTCTTGGGGCGACACAGCGCAGTGCCTTGTAGGGGAGAGGGAAGGAGGGATAAAAAGAATGGTGAAAAGAGATAGATAAAGAATTAGGACAGGCAAGCGACAGAAAAAGGAGGAGATAGGAAAGTTGGGAGCCGGTTTAAGAAATCCGAGGACGGGACACCGCATGGAGGAGCTTCACGGCGTCAAGAGGTCGTGGAGGGCGAACCTGTCGGCGAGGGCTACACTGGCGTTGGATATCGCGGGCAGCACAACTGTTCAGCTTGAAATCCTCCGAGCACGTCTGAAGCGTCGCTCTTTTGCCGCAAAGATAAAAGGGGGAGGTGGTTGAGCGCACCGCCGTCCAATGGCGGCCTCGCGCAGCATGCTGCAATATTCAAAATGCGAGACGTACTCCTTGTTTTTCTTGTTTTTTGTTTATTCTCCGCGAAGATACAACACTGGCAACTAGTGGGTTGTGAAGGGGAAGGCCTTCGCAGCATGCGTGCATGATTGCAAATGACGGCTAGCGTGTCGTTCTCACGACAGACCAACGCGAACTACGCCATTTTCTGCGACTTTCGTGCATTTCTCGCATCACCACTGCCCACTTAAAAGCATTTATAGTTCATTTCTCATGCCAATTGCAGCTTAATATTTTCTGAAGTAAAATAATTTAGTCCAAGGATGCCAATATAACCGGAGAAAAAAAAAAGCAAAAGTTTCCCGGAATACCGTTACTTTTTGACCCGCGTCTCCCCTTTACATATGTTCATTTCCCGTAAATAAAGGTTGGAGAATACCCTGTAACCCTTTGCATGCATTATCATTTATTCATCGCATAGTGTTGGAGTGCCATCAAAGGCGAATTACCATTATTCGTAAATCAGTAGTGATAGTGTGCTTCTTTCTGCACACTGCTTGAGCACTTTACAGGATGAGGATACGTGCCCCTCAGATTTTGGTGATGCTTGCCACTGTTCTGAGGCTTGCAGAGTGCAAGCATCGCATTGATCCGTGCTCTTGTGAACCACTAGTGCATCATAATTATATTACCTTTAGTTACAACATCCAATGTAGCTTCGTGAAAAATGAGTGTGTTTTCAGGCTTTCAGTGTGCCTGTGATAGCATATTGATGGGAAGCACATCCTGGCTAGAGAGTACATTTATCCGATAAAATTGAAGCTGCCTGCAGTGAGATGAGCCCGAGCATGACATTAGCTCACATTGTAATGCCTGCCACTTCGAAGTTTTTTCGCACGACCATAATCTATGTTGGCTTACTTCAGAGGTCTAAGTCGTACTTCAGCAGAGTTCAAATCGCTTTGAAAAATTCTTCATTGGTGGGCCACAATGCAGCCGCACAGCCGTGACTTACGTTGAAAGGGCTGGGTCCGAGCATGTGTCCATCATCTGAACAGCCATTAGTTAAAGAAAAAAATGTTGGGAGAAAAATGTATCATGCCTGAATGCCGTCATATTCCATGAAGGCTACTCGTCATTTCAGATCTGGAACGTCCACAGCGTCCTCAACGTGCTCCACTCTCTCGTCGACAAGTCCAACATCAACCTCCAGCTGGAGGTTTACACCCAGGGAGGTGAGGCAACACGTTTTTCACCATTTGGTATCTCGCACTATTGTTGGCACATGACTGTGTGAGGCACCCAACTCTTGTTTTCCGAAACCCTCTGTCACAATGACATTGCATGACCGCTAAAACTGATGCTGAAAACCAAGAAAGTCATAAATTTTGAAAGGGTCAGATACGTTTGGTATATGATTGCAGTAAAGCTATTGCACAGGATTTCTATTCTAATGTGAACGAACTCATTCTAAAAATGGCATGGCATGCCTATTGCGCCCTTGAACCCAATAAGTTTGCAGTGTCTCCCAGTATCGTTATCATAACTATGAGCATTTGTCTGCGTGATCAAGCCACAGAGAACGATAACAGTGTTGCAAAATTTACTTGTCATTGACGCAGCAACATTAATACTCTTCTTAGCCTTGATTTCCCACTCAGGCAACACAATGGACAGTGGGGATTTGGTGAGCCTTGGTAGCCACTGATGCCATTGGGTTACCTGGTATATCACCACGGAACCTTGTGGCTACCCTCTGTGTGTAGGGGATCCTGACAGTGTGGCCGGGGAGTTTGGCCAGCATCCGCTGTACAAGATGCTGGGCTACTTCAGCCTGGTGGGGCTACTTCGTCTGCACTCGCTGCTCGGCGACTACTACCAGGCCGTCAAGGTGCTCGAGAACCTCGAACTCAACAAGAAGGTAGCCCACTGTTTTAATTAAGCCGGACTTGGTAGTTTATGTGCAATTAACTGCATGCAGTTATTCCATAGGGGGTGCCAATGCAGCACATAAAATTGTTTTTTGTCGTCGTTTTTTCTGGCAACGCAATGAGGGTTTGTCTGGAAAGAGAGAAAAGTACTTGAACAATTAGGACATGTGGTTGGTGTTTGCGCCATCATCCTTCTAAGGAAGTGCATGCTCGAGAACATTTCATCTTTTGCTGCGGCTGCGAATAATAGGCCTTCCTCGTACACTGGACCTAAAAGTTTAAAAATTCCACTTCCAAAGCAGCAGCCAACAAAGCTTAACGGCCATGTCTCTACCGGGTTGCATATTAACGCTGTTGTAGTATTGGTGCGTCGTACAGGATAAGTCCTCTCTGCTCCATGCTATGTTGCTTGTAGCTGCGCATTTGCACCGGCTCTAGGCATACGTAACTGCGTCAGTAAGGCGCCAGCTTCTGCTCTCACCTGTATGTCATACAAGGGAGCTAAGTTTCATCAGCAGATGCCAGTATTGTGCTGGGAGACAAGCATGGCAAAGCACCATCTGTCGAACACAGAAAAAACCTTCTGGTTACAGTGCCATGCAAGCAGGAAAAAAAACAGTAACACTGAAAAACGTACTTGCTAGCTGAAACTGTTCGTGAAGTGCTGCACTACATTCGCTATTCTGCTTCAAGCCCTGCGTTTGTCTTTTCAGAGCCTGTACTCTCGGGTTCCGGCCTGCCAGATCACGACGTATTACTACGTGGGGTTTGCGTACCTGATGATGCGGCGCTACGCGGACTCCATCCGCACCTTCTCCAACATCCTGGTCTACATCCAGCGTACCAAACACATGTTCCCGACGCGCACGTATCAGGGCGACCAGGTGTGCACGCTTTTCGGAATCCTATACGGACCTGCTGCGTCTTCCTTGCTTTCTCTCTTGCAGTCTATGCACGTGCAAACTGTGATATGACTCGTGATGTGTATGCTAGGTTGACACCGGCGACTCGCACTGGTCGCTCGACCGAGAGGTTGCCGATGGCCGCTTTGACTTGTGGGTTGATTCGCTTCTTGTGCCGCCCCGTGCAGATCAACAAGCAGACGGACAAAATGTACGCCCTGTTGGCCATCTGCTTGACGCTGCACCCGCAGCGCATCGACGAGAGCATCCTGTCTCACCTGAAGGACAAGCACGGAGAGCAGATGAACAAGATGCAGCGTGGGTAGGTGGCAGCTTTGCCGCAAATGCGGTGGGATGAGATCAAGCATTTCAAAATCTGGAGGGTTCACTTTTAATATGAGGTGTGCTGTATTAGTCTTTGGGAAGTTCGAATAGTTCAATTGTTGAAAGTTACACTGTGAATCGAGTTGCGAACACTATTCGAAAAGTGTTCAAAATTTCAAATATTCGCACTTTCCTAGCAAACACAGGTGGGACACCGTGATAGTCGTTCTTTTCCATTGCTGGTGTTCTTCGTTGCAATATGGTGGATGTGCTCGAACGGAAAACCTCCTTTCATTTTACGAAAAAGTGGACACTTGGGAACCGTTATGGCTGCAGGCTGGTAGGCACATTGTAGCACTTTTTGAAGGCTACGTGATGGTGAACATGACATCAATTTTGCACTCGATAACTGCTGTTTCTGACCGAAAATCATGGCAGAAAGCCAGAAAAAAAAAAGCTGTTGTTACCCCTATTCGCTAGTTCTGTGTGTGCAACCACCTTTAATGCCTCATTTCAACACGGTCTTCTGTAGGAGAGATGTAACCTAATTACGTGGATGTGTGCTGTGCACTATGTAGATGACCTATTCAAGGTCTGACGCTTGTGAGAATTTCATGAACGCTGATATTGCATTGCTTGGGTATACTCCTGTTTTGTACACTTGTCGCATGGGCAGACTTTGTGGGAAATCTAAACTAAATACCTTCTTTTCTCGCTGCCTCTCGAAGGCGTCTAGATGATTTCAATAAGAATGCATCCCTAAATAAAACAATTGAGATGTTATGTATGTATTTCATTTACGAATGGTGTTAAAGCTAAAGATATTGAAGACTGAGGCGTTAATTTGCTGTGAAACTGGGAAGGAGAGGTGCCTGTCAACTTGGCAAAATGACCACATGCACTTACTAATTCAAATTGGACGCAGGGACAAGGCCGTATTTGCCGAGATCTTCAGTGTGGCCTGCCCCAAGTTCCTGAACCCGGTGCCGCCACCCCTCACCCCTGCGACTCTCGAGAACAAGGATGTGAGAAACTACGCCAAGGTCAGTTCTGGCACTCCTGCGCGCAGCTGGCAGCAACTTGCGCTAGTATTGTAGCCACATTCGTACACCCGGGAGACTCTTTCTCACTTGCACTTATATTCGTAACGCATACGAACCTAAGTGCATACGAACTAATGCAACTTAGGTTCGTTTGTAACGTTTAGAACCCCAGGTAGACGAAATTTCACGAGCCCTCCACTACAGCATCTCTCATAATCATATGTGGTATTGGGAATACTAAACCCCAGTTGTTATTATTATTATTCGTTTTTTATTTATTTAGAAGCGATAAAGTAACAGAAAGACTAGAAGGGACAACACGACACGTTACTAACTTTCGGCAAAATGGTTTATTACAGCCGGAACTACTTCGTTTACCAGTAACCAAGAACTCCAAGGGTTGCTCTGTCACTTTCTTTACAGGAGCCTCTTCAGCAGCAGCTCAATGTCTTCCTCAGTGAGGTTGAGGGGCAGCTCATGATTCCAACCATCAGGAGGTGAGCTATTACATCCTGCATAATTAGCGCAACTGTAGTACAAGCTTGCTCTTCCTATGAGTGTAGGGCATTCATGGCGGTCTCAAATGATAAATGTAAAAATTGTAGCCTCTATAGGTCCTTGTAGGCTCAAACTGATGCCCAATAGGCAATGTTACGATTTCAGTAATAAGTACTATAGTTGAGTTCATCGGCGAGAGGTCTGTTCCAGGAAAAAACACGACGGCAACATAAATGTATTTTATGCTCTGTTTGTTTTCTTGCTGAGGCTGCCTGATGTTATCTGCCCTTTACTAGACCTGACACTGCCACACGGATCCGAACAATAAGCTGAGGAAAATTTGCAGTAGGGCAATTCCCACCTTCAAACAAGTTGAAGGTGGTAATTCTTACAGTGGCTACTGTGATCATAACCGAATACAGTAGAACTTTGATTATACGTCCCCCGGTTTTGTGACGACCCGCATTTTACGACGAATCCGTTAGGTCCCAGCAAAATCTCCATAGGAATAATGTATTAAAAACCTTGGTTATACGACGTGGTTTTACGCCGACCCCGCATCTTACGACGACATTCAGATTTCGCCCAAAAGGAAAAAAAAGAACGCCTTTACTCGAATTAAGCGTGGACCAAATATTCACAAGTGCAAAATATGAACTTGCATTCCCCTTGGTTGACGATCAGAGAAGTAGAGAGCGAGACAGATGTCTTGTTAGAATGGAAAATTTATTCTTCTGAAAGTTCGTGCGCTTCTACACACGCCACAGTCGCGTGTGCACGTATCTGGGGTCGTTACCTAGTCAAGCTCTCTCCACACAAAGCAGCCTCCAGCCGGCTGAAAAGCTGATATTTTCACATTTTCGGTCTATGGAAACATTTTCTGGTCGACATACAGCTGATCTCCTGCTTTTGTCGCACTCGCAGTCACAAGCTTGCAGGCGCATAAGGGTGCGAAACAGCTGTTTTCGCCGTGAAAGATCGCTTTCACTTGACGTCGACGTTCATGCTAACAGCGGGACATCACTAGTTGCACTTCACAAGGCTACAAATTACAACGTGCGTAGCTCAGTCGCACACGGAGGCATTCTACACACACTCGTGGTCGGTTGCCGCTATGTGATAGCGATGACACTGTGTCTGACTCTTCTGACGAGGGACTATCAGCAACACGGTTTCGGTTTCACGCACAGGCAATTTTCGGTCTCTATTTATCGATAGAAAGATGCGCGTTGGATTCAATTCTTGTTAAACATAAGAAAAGAGATTCGTTCACATCTCTTTTAACTAAGTTACGCTGCCATTAGCTGTCACTAGCAAGAATAATTTAATCTACCTTTATAGCAGAGGCACAAGGTCCTGCCATGGGCTTATTCAGGCGGTCTATGCCCATTTTTCGGGGACAAGGCTGAGTGTCATTGCTATATTCTTAGTTTTTCGATTGTACGATGCCCGGATTATACGATAGTTTTGCTTGGTCCCCTGAAAGTCGTGTAACCGGGGTTCCACTGTAATCTGATTGGGTAAGGCCTAACTTAGCAATAAATATACACACGTTCACTGTGCATTGCATAAATTAGCTTTTGGAACACAAGAAGCATGCCACGGATCTTGAATATCGTATGAGAAAGCTTTTAGAAAACACTTGTTTCGGTACCCCAATTGCCTAATTACCGTAATTACTCGAATCTAACGCGCACCTTTTTTCCGGTTAAGCGCGTTCATAAATCGCATGCGCGTTACAATCGAGTACAAACGAAAAAATTACGGTCAATCTATTGCCATCGGCAAATCCAAAATGGCCGCCCCCTATGTGTGTCAGCATGGCGCGTCGGCCATTTCTGCCTATGTGTTTCCCATGTGCGGCACTTCGTACGTGTGCTGAGGAGTTCGTCATCTAGTAGTGCATTAGCATCGACGGTGTGGAAGGGCCGACTCCAAAAACTGGAGTGCACCACGATGCCGCTTTTAAAAGAAAAGTCATCGCGTGTGCAGAAACGGACGGAAATCGGGCCGCATCGCGGTCGTTCGGAGTTCCCGAAACGTGCGTGCGGGACCGGCGGAAACAAAAGCAGAAGATTGTCGACAGCAAAGCTTCACGCAAAGGCTTCAGTGGACCACAGCAGGGTCGGTTTCCGCAAATCAAAGAGCTGCTCGGCGAGTATGTGCTTGAGCAGCAGCGAGTGGCACAGCGGCCCGTGACGACAGAACTGCTACAAGTGCAGCTATGCAATTAGTCTTAGAAAACGGTCTAATGCGGAGCCAGTTTAAAGCAAGCAGGTGCTGGCTAACTAACTTTATAAAGAGGAAAGGCTTTTCCCTCCGAAGGGGAACATGCATATGCGAAAAGTTTTGCGGAGGAGTACGATGAGAAGCTTCACAGTTTTCAGAGGTTCGTCTTAAACTTGCGGCGCAACAACGGCTACCTGCTTGGGCAAATCGGGAATGCCGATCAGACGCCTCTTTACTTCGACATGCCTGGCACCACAACCGTCGAGAAGAAGGGGGCGAAGCAAGTTCGCGTGCTGAGATCGGTCCACGGTAAAACTACAGTGACGGCAATGCTCTGTTACACGTCAGATGGGTACAAGCTTCGCCCGTACCTCGTATTTAAATAGAAGACGCTCCCAAAAGGAGTCGTTTTTTCGAGTGGTGTGATCGTGCGGGCCAGCGTGAAAATTGGGTGCGCGTTGCAATCGATGTCTTAAGGGCTTTTTTTTTTTTTTTTTTTTTCGCGGTGGAAATCGGGTGCGCGTTACAATCGAGGGCGCGGTAGAATCGAGTAAATACGGTAATCAATGCTATATCAGAGCAATCGAGCTGAACACAAACTGTGACCTAGAGTGTTGAGACTAGGAAGGAACTCACAATAGTGCGAGACATGGAAGTCCACGAAGATGTCTCATCTTTGCCATTGTTAAGCACCACTATCTTAATATTGTAAGTGCCAGTTTCACTTTTTTCATTCTCGTCTTTCTTGTGGGATGGTAAGATTGAAAGAAAAACTTGGGAGAGTGCACCCACTATGCGAGTAAATGCAGTATAATCAGACGCCACAAGTGGCTGCAATAATTCAAGATGGTGTGCGCATTGTAATAAATTTCTTTTCTAGGGGGGCCATGGCAGCTGAAAGACCTCGTTATTTCTACTATGTATTTAGTACTAATTGTGAAGATTTTGGTGCAGTAACATGCAAAGATCACTTATGCTGGTTTCTGCACAGAAACTTCGGGTTGGTTTTCTTGATTGACCCCCGTTGCTTCATGGCTTACGCTGTAGCACTCCAGCAACCACGATTTAGTCATCCAGGCGTTACGATTCTCGGCGTTTGGAGTTACGATCGTGGTAAATTAGGTTGTTGGCCATGTCCCGTTGGCGTCCCACCGTTTTGGTGGCACGCTGGCAAGGGCGGCCTCTGCCTTGGTCGTCCAGAAACATTTGCGCCTGTCAAGTCTTGACTGGTGCTGTAATGGAGCGGCCAACATTTTTTTAGCCTTTAGTCATCGATTACCTTAACCTTATTTTTTTATTAACCCTCATTTTGGTGTGATGTTTCAGTGTAACTTTTTCTATCGGACAGTTATCGTGGTTGTGTCAATATTTTAAAAATGACAGGGGGGGGGGGGCTGATACAGTAATTAGCATTTACTAGTAAAGTGCTTCATGAGACATACCTATCTGTTAACTGCTTGCATCTTTTGTACAGTCTCTTGAATAAGTTCGTATGCTCATATGAGAGTGTGAAAGCTAGGCATGAGATTATTTATAGTGCCTTTTTTTCTTTATGTGCTATCACTGTTTCCATGGGGTACATCTCTACAAGTCCTGCGTTTTACACTTGCTTTTGAGCCTATAAATGAAAAAGTGGTGCATTTTTATTCTTTTCCTTCCAGCTTCCTGAAACTGTACACCACAATGCCCGTCTCAAAACTGGCAAGCTTTCTTGAGGACAGTGATGTAAGTCAACATAAAGTCTTCTAGCTTTTTTTCTACGATTTCCAACTCGTAATTAAGACTTCACGAGAACCACGAGAAAACTTGAATGATTTACTAGTAATCCCCCATTTACCCCCCCCCCCCCCCCCCCCCACTTCCGCTCCATGTTTGCCTCTGCACCACAAGGTGGCACCAGCTGAAGTGCCTCTGTCCGTTCATGCTATTTTTGTGGCATTATCTGGTCACCCGGAGATTCCTGTTCTGACTTGACTTTCGATTACTGAATGTTTTTTGCTCCGTATTTACTTAAGAGTGCATTACCATATAAACCAGACTATAGGTCGAGTGGGATTATAGGTCGACCCCCAAGTTCAGGTTACCGAAAAAGAAAAAAAGGAAAACAACCTAAAATTGCCGAACGACATTTACAGTCGAGCCCGCTTATAACGAACCTGAGCATGACGCGGCATCCGTTCGCTGTATCCAGAAGTTCGTAGTAAATGAAACACAGCTTTCAAAAAAAAATTGTGAGTGAAAACAAACTTTTTTGCCCCCAAAGCAGAAGCGATAAAGGCGGTCTCGAGTTAATTTAAAACGGCAGGGTGCTCGTTCGCCGAGGCCCTGGCATAAGCTACATCAAGCACTGGCTCCGAAGTTACGTCGTTCTCGTAATCCCATTTCTTCAAATCGCTCTCGCTACGTACTTCATTCACAATGCCCCAATCTGTGCACGGTTCCACAGGGTCGACATCGTCATCGGCCGTAATTAAACCATCACAACAGATGTCTTACCCACTCTCCCAGATCGGAGTCGACGACGCGCTGCCACAAATCGCCGTCGCAGTGGTCCTGTTCGGAAGCTTCAGGCTCGGCATCGGACCCGACGTCGACGAAGTCGGCCTCGTGAAAACAGCTTTGCGCGCATGTAGTCGTCACCGCCGCCCACGAAATATTCACCATCTCCACAGCTGAATACCGGGATGCCCGAAGCGGCAAGTTGGCTGCCAAGTGGTCAACAGCTATGAGCAAGCGCTCCACAACATGGCACCTAATGCGCGGATTACGCTCAAGCCAAGCGGTCACACTTTCATAGTTTTGTTGAGCGGCACGAAAAAGCGTGCTAGTCCTCCTGTCGGCCATCATGACCACACACACACGCACACCAAGAGCGAGCAAGATGCGCATACGCGACACACATGCCAGAACGCGTGGAACAGCTCTGGGCCCGTTTCCAGTCGGAAAGCGACACTTATTCGCGCCAGCATGATGGGCGTCGAGGAGCCGTGGAGACAGGCGATCAAGAGAAGAGAGCAGACTCTCTGCTCTCTTCTTGTGATCAAGAGAAGAGAGCAGACTTGCGAGAGAAGGGTGAAGAGAGGGGAGGATGCGGCGGGAGGGCGACCTTGAAAACCAATATACATGGCAAGGAGGCAGATTGGGTAGCTTGCTTGAAAGGTCCGCGAAACTCTCACGTAGAGAAACTTGGAAAGAGTGCATGGCCGCCTGAAACGGTGCGCACGGCGGTGTTCGAAGAAGCGGCGGCCGTGGTGAAAAAATCGTTTTGTTGCGCCGGCGGGTTTGCGTAGCTTCATGAACTTCGATACTTTGCAATTCGTTCCACGCAAATTAACAGGTGTTCTCGCGCTTCCGCACGCGCGCAGAAGGCATGCTGAGCCGAGTGTGATGTGAGCGAGAACAAGTCCTAAACACGAAATGAATTGCAAATTATCAGAGCCGGTGGGGTAGCTAGCGTACGCGCGTGCACTAGACGCAGACTATCGGATACAGTTGGCGGCCGACGGTTTTGGCAAAGGGTGTGGTCACTCCAGGCCGGTGACGCCAACGACAGTACCAGCGATCAAAAACGGGGTAGATGGCCGACCGGTCTTCGAAAGATCGGTGGCAGTGTGAAAACACGGGCCTCGTCTGGCGATGCGGAGTGCTCAGAGTAGCGGGGGGACAAAGGACGGAGGGGTGCGTAACAAAAAGCCTTCGGGGATAGCGGCAACTAGAGGGGCGCGGAGGCAGGGTCGGCGTTTAACAATAAGAATGTATGGGCACCTCGCCGATGCCTGGTCGGTGGTCGAAATTGGTTTCCTGGGAAGTCGGCAGACCACTGACTCTGTTCGCTGTAACCGATCAGCGGCACTCGGAGACGTTCGTTGTGAGTGCGATTTTGTGCCATTGAACCAATGTATATTTTCACGGTCACACGGATATTGTTCGTTTTAAGCGAAAGTTCGTTTTGAGTGGGGCCGTTATATGTGGACCCAACTGTATTTGCTAATTGGGTGCACCGGACCCGATCGTCGGAGCTCCCCTCACCCACTATCGCAACTGTTCCTATTCGTCAGACAAAGCACCACTGTCTTCTGAAGGCGAGAGTTACCGTAATTACTTGAATCTAACGCGCACCTTTTTTCCAGTTCAGCGAGTTCATAAATCACATGCGGGTTAGAATCGAGTACGAACAAAAAAATTACGGTCAATCTATTGCCATCGGCAAATCCAAAATGGCCGCACCCTACGTGCGTTGGCATGGCGCGTCGACCATTTCTGCCTATGTGTTTCCCATGTGCGGCACTTCGTACGTGTGCTGAGGAGTTCGTCATCTAGTAGTGCATTAGAATCGACAGCGTGGAAGGGCCGACTCCCAAAACTCGTGTGCACCACGATGCGGCTTTCAAAATAAAAGTCATCGCGTGTGCAGAAACGGAAGGAAAACGGGCTGCATCGCGGTCGTTTGGAGTTCCCGAAACGTGCGTGCGGGACCGGCGGAAACAAAAGCAGAAGATTGTCGACAGCAAAGCTTCACGCAAAGGCTTCTGTGGACCACAGCAGGGTCGGTTTCCGCAAATTGAAGAGCTGCTCGGCGAGCATGTGCTTGAGCAGCGAACGGCACAGCAGGCCAGTGACGACAGATCTGCTCCAAGTGCGGGCTATGCAATTAGTCTTAGAAAAAGGTCTAATGCGGAGCCAGTTTAAAGCGAGCAGGTGCTGGCTAACTAACTTTATGAAGAGGAAAGGCTTTTTCCTCCGAAAGGGAACATGCATGTGCGAAAAGTTTTGCGGAGGAGTACGATGAAAAGCTTCACAGTCTTCAAAGGTTCGTCCTAAACTTGCGGCGCAACAACGGCTACCTGCTTGGGCAAATAGGGAATGCCGATCAGACGCCTCTTTACTTCGACATGCCTGGCACCACAACCGTCGAGAAAAAGGGGGCGAAGCAAGTTCGCGTGCTGACATCGGTCCACGGTAAAACTACAGTGGCGGCAATGCTCTGTTACACGTCAGATGGGCACAAGCTTCACCCGTACCTCGTATTTAAGGAAGACGCTCCCAAAAGGAGTCGTTTTTTCGAGTGGTGTGATCATGCGGGACAGCGAGAAAAATGGGTGCGCGTTGCAATTGATGTCTTACTTTTTTTTTTTCGCGGTGGAAATCGGGTGCACGTTACAACCGAGGGGGCGGTAGAATCGAGTAAATACGGTAGTCGCTGGCTACCTCCCACAGTGCATTGTCTTCCTCTTAAAAGAATTTTCTACGATAGAATCTGGCAAGGAACACCAGGCAGAAAGCACTCAGCCACAAACAGTAGCAAGCGGAGGCATCTGTAGGCGGCCCGTCGGTGTCTTTGGGTTGTCGCCAAACATCCACTTTTGGTACTACAGCCCTACTCGGTCCTTGAAGGGCTTGTTTAACACAACTTCGATCGGTTGGAGGGTGGACGTCATACCACCGGGTATGACAGCGAGGTCAGTTTTGCCATCACCCAGTGTGCGTTTCACAGCGTCAATTAAGTGACCACAAAACGCATCTAATACCAGCATGCTGCAAAGACGCAGCAGTGCACCTGGCTGACGGTTCCAGACTACACGTATCCATTCGAGCATCGTGGCCTCGTCCATGTATCCCTTTTTGTTGACGCGAACGACAACACCGGGCGAGAACACTTCCTTGGGCATCGTCTTACATTTGAAAATGATGAAGGGCGGAAGCTTTCTACTATCTGCCATGCATGCCAGCATGACAGTGAAGTGTGAGTGCTCGTTGCCAGTGGACAACAGCTTCATATCCTTGGCGCCGCGCTGCATGATCATGGTCAATGAAGGCATGTCAAACCTCACGGGGGTCTCATCGGCATTGTCAATCTGCCCCATCATGTAGTCGTTCTGCTCCGGATGCCGGTTCACTAAGCGCTGGAGGTTTATGAGCTTGTCCTCGAACTCGCCTGGAAATTTCTGACAGATGGATGTGCGCCAACGGAAAGAACATCCTTTGCATCTTATGAATCGACGCACCCAAGAGTTTGGTGCACGAAACTCTTCTCTCGTGAGCCCAGCTTCTCGAGCGAGTTCACAGCTTTCTTGCGAATGGTATCCACGGTCCCTGGCAGCGAGCACGCATGAACTTCCCATACAAACTTCCCTAGCATATCCTCCAGCTGTGGATAAACCGCACTTCGCCCACGAAATGACATTTTCCGAGGATTGCACATCTGCAGCTTCCCTTTTTGCACCCTCCAATAGCGCACGCTTATTTCTGATACACCAAAGGGGCGCTGAGCAGCCATATTCCCATTCGCTTCTGCGAACTCAACAACCTCTAGTTTAAACGCAGCTGAGTACTGCCTTCTCGTACCGCTACTCATATTTAGTGAACGAAAAAAAGACCACAAAAATGAAACCCAATGTTAAGGGGGGACGCGGGTCTTAGAATGGTGAAAAATGGCCAAAAAGTCGATTTTGAGAAAATGTGATATTTGAAATTTTTAGACCTATAAGCACGTGTCCTCAAATTGTGAACGCTGAATTTGATCAGTAAATGGATTAAAATTGATTATGAAGTCGCCACGGGAGCCGCAAAACAACCCACGGCAGGTCTGATTCGTTCAAACTTCCCGCGCGCGCCGGCGGCGAGGCAGTCAGCCGATCGCCGCCATCTTGGGCTTGTTTTGAAGCTGATTCCTTTGTGCGCATTTTGCCACCCTTCAAAATGGCGTCGCTTAAACAGAACGGCTG